AGGGGTGCCTTAAGAAGACATCACCAGGTAAAGCTGACGTGTTCGGGGTGACGTGTCATGTGAAGTTCTGAGCGCAGAGAGGACGATGCTGGTCCGGTTGTCACATACACTTTCCAAAATAAAAGCAGAAACACTAATCTTTAATTTTCATCCCTTTTCTTATCCTTCCTTTGCCCACCTTAAGTTAAAGTGCCAGTAGAATTGTTTGGTTTTAACATCAGAGCTGACGTTTTACTGTCTATATATAAGTAATCTGAGTTTAATGGGAATTGAAATTCGGACGCGGGTTTTTATCTCATTTAAMTTTGACGCTTGTTATAAATAGCCCACAATCAGGTGTAACTTATGATTTGTTCAGTTTGTGTAAATAAATGATTGCATAATGTTTTATGAATCAAATTGAACTCGTCTGACGTTCCCTTATTGTGTCACTCTTCACTTTGCACWGTCAAATATTATAGTAATGAGAAAAACCTTGGTAAAATTTTCTCTCATAACTTTGTTAAGAGAAGRTGTAGGGGGACTTATTTTACATAAGTCACCTTTCCCTTACATGGTGATGGCGGATGAACAGTGATTATCCAGCCGTACATGTTGTGGCCGGCTGGTCAAGACATCCCTTAACGAGTTACACATGAGGGAACTGATGCCTAGTTTTGCGAGTTTTGTAATGAGCTTAGAGGGGATGACTGTGTTGAATGCTGAGCTGAATCTATGAAAAGCATTCTGGCATAGGTGTTTTTATTCTCCAGGTGTGAGAGGACAGAGTGCAGTGCWATGGAGACTGCATCCTCTGCGCTCCTGTTCTGATGATWCGCAAACTGATGGGGGTCCARGGTCGGGGGGATAAGCTTTGAGGTCGGCTAGGACAAGCCGCTCAAAGYATTTTGTGATGACGGGGGTGAGAGATACTGGGCGGTAGTCATTGAGCCTGGATGGGYGGGAGACTTTGGGTAAGGGAATGATGGAAGTGGATTTAAAGCAGGTTGGTGCTACAGTACTGGCCAACGACAGATTGAATATGTCCATCAGCACTCCTGCCAGCTACTCGGAGCATGCTTTGAGAGCACGTCCAGGAATGCCATAGGACATGCGGCCTTGTGGACATTAATCCTGCTCAGTACCGCTCCTACATCAGTGGGGGAGAGGGTCAGTGGTTGGTGGTCTGGAGTTACATCTGCCTTGGTTCCTGTTGTTGGGTTCTCCCTCTCAAAGCAAGCATAAAAATTGTTGAGCTTGTTGAGGAAGGAGGCATCAGAGGAGGTGGGTGAGGGAAATATGGTCCTGTAGTCTGTGAGGGTCTGGAGTCCTTGCCACATACATCAGGGGTTAGAAATGTAGAAGTGTTCCTCTACCTTCCTTTTGTAGTGGTGTTTGGCCTTCGTGATGCCCCTCTTCATCTCGGCTCTGGCTGTGCTGTAGGCCTGTGCATCCCCTGATCTGTAGGGGTGTTGCGGGCCCTCAGCAGGAGACGGACATCCCTATTCATCCAGGGTTTCTGGTTGGGATACAAGATKATATAAAAAAGAAAAAAATTGTATAGGTCTTCTGCACGGGTTCTTCTCTATTATTTCTCTCTCATTCTTTTGAACAGTGGCTGCTTTGTTTCCCCGATGTATAACTGGTCGCAGTCCTCCTGGCACTTAACAGCATATACAACATTGCTCTGTTTGCGCNCAGAACCCTCAAGCTCCCAGGCCTCTGGTAGAGGACCCGAGCTCAGAGGATGAAAGAGACCACCCGCGGAGGGTGAGAAGGGAATTATTTTTTTTTTATATATACTGTATATCTGTTGGCAAAAGTTTTTCCTAAGTCTATAGATTTTATTCCCACAGATGAACTGACTTTAAAATGATTGGAATAATGAAGCAGTCCCTTTATTTGTCCATACTTTGTCCATGTAATGTCCCCATCCATGACTGGTAATGTCAACAGAATATCACTGGGTGTCAATGAAGACTGGTCCAGTTAGAAAAAGTTCTGCTTTTGTTCAGGTTCTGCAGAATCAGACTAACTTTATTTACATTATTATTGATTCTCTCTTAGGTTCTGTCTTTGATATCTTCTGTTTCATTCCTCCAACCACCTTTCTTTCTGCTCTGCAGCCGTTTTTAAAACTCTGTGTGACCTCTGACCCGGACCCAGCAGAACATCTCATCCTGACTTTCTGATATTTCCAACTGTACTGATGGTTCTGATTGTGTTTCAGTGCTGCAAGAGTTGATGTTTGTCTCCATCTAGAGCTTCAAATGTGACATCATCAAGAAGGATAAATGAAAGTTATGAATTTTGAACTCTTGAAAACTGACATTAAGCTCACAAACAGCTGTCGTGATTGAAGTTAAACACTTTTTAGTTTCATTTCAGTTTTCATTTCTGCATAGTTTGAATAAATGATTTGTTTTTATTCTGTGATTTCTATTTAAAGTGGACATATCTGCAAAATCCACTATTTTAGCTGTTAAATGTATTTTGTTGTTTACCTGGAGTCTCTAGGAGGCAGAAAATTGAATTGTGTTGCACGGTGTGGCTACTTGACTTCCTAACAGGAAGTAGAGGACCAGTACTTCCTGTTTGGTTGTTCACCACAGAGATCAATGACTTTGTTTTCCAGCTGCCTTCAGGACCACCCAGAGTTACAATCAGCAATGATTCAAGCCTTATCTGCTCCACATTGTAAAAAATAAAAGGGTTCAAATTTTATGTGTTGAATTACATCGACAACTATGAAGTTAAGCAATAAATACATCCAGTCACTGTTTGGGTAACTAGCTTTAGCTCGTAGCTACTTTACAAATATTTTTATTTCTACTTGACGACTAATAGAGTCTCACTTTCTGCAATTATGTAACATCAGTTTTAACCCAAAGATGTAGTTTCAGATTTCTTTCTTACCCCTTTTTTATTCAGCACAGTGTCCAACAAAGACTCATCAGGTCTACAGGTCCTGTGAAATCCTGAGAAGGGTCATGAACTCACAACAGTGTCCAACAAAGACTCATCAGGTCTACAGGTCCTGTGAAATCCTGTGAAGGGTCATGAACTCACAACAAGGTGAAACAACTGTTGATTGGTTCCACAAACACACGATAGATTTTGGTTCTCATGTCACTGATGTTTACGTTAAGTAGAAAGTATTTCTAGCTGTTGAAAAAAAGTGATGAAGTTGGAGTAGATGTTAGATTTTTGTCTCGGTTTTACCTTTTTTTTTCATCTCATTGTGTAATTAAGTTGGGCGGTCCTTGGGTCAGCCCATCTCCTATTGGTCAAAAGACAGGAAGCTTCTTTAGAATTTTTATTTTTATGTACAGTACCCTGGGACAACAGTTGTTGTGACTTGGTGCTATATAAATAAACTGAAGGAGCAGATCTACCATGCTTTTTGTTTTAATTTACATTTACAACACTTTGTTGCAGCTGTGCTTGTTTTAAAGTGCCAAAACAGTTTTTGGTTTATTGAATCTTAAGTTTAGCATTAAAGCAGCTTCAGCTTTACCAGAATGCTTCTGAAAAGCAGCATCATGAAGATGAACATAAAAAATATAATGTAGGCCTGTCAAAAATTAAAATCAGTAGTTCCTCTGGATGGTTCTTCTTTAATGAAACGTTTCGTCTCTCCTCCAGGAGACTTCTTCAGTCTGAGAGTTTCAGGTGAACTCAGCCTTATAAGCTCCGCCTCCACCTGGACAAACAGGTTAGTCACATGTAAAAAAAAAAAGGGCCATTAACTAACAATAGGCTTGATTAGCTCTATTGTTCATAAAGGGTCATGTGACCCATCACCTGACCTGTGTCGTGTTGTGTGAATATAGTGAACGCAAGCGGGGGTTCAACATCTGCTTGTTTTGTAGGCCTACTTTTATAACACAAAACTGTTTGTGTTTAAGTTGATAAAACACATTTTCTGACAAAAGGGTTCATATTAACCTGACAAAGTTAGATTTTTTTTTACAAAACACAAACATTTACTTTGATCAAATGAGTTTATTTCTGCAGAACAAAAAGTACATCAGTTTTGTTTATTTTATTTCAAATTAGAACAGATGAATCATCAAGTCTCCATTTAATAACTAAACCAACCATGTTTTATTTGAAAAATGTCTTTCAATCCTGCTGAACTCTCAATGGGTAACATATTTACATTTTATCTGGAAATAAAAAGGACACCACGTACACGATTTAACTATCAATAGAACAAACAAAGTAAAGCCAGTTAAATGAAGTTTTTCTCTGAAATAAGATGAAAAAAACTCATCTCCATTTCTGACTGAGCTGAGAAAAAGTGAATCCAGCAGGAAATATTACATTTAAGGAAAGAAAGAAAAAACACACCTACTGAACATCCATGATCTTTTACTGGTTTCTTTACTTTGTGAAGGTTGGAGGACACCCTGAACAGGTCTTCAGTCCATCACAGGGACACATGGAGACAAATGAGACAAACAACCACTCTCTCTCTCTCAAACACACCTAGGGAAAATGACAGAGACCAGTTCAGCTAACAGCCACGGTTAGAGTCTGTGGGAGGAAACCAGAGCATCTGGAGAAAACACACAGCTGCACGGCAAGAATTGGAAAACTACCCAGAAACACCCCCCGGACCAAATTCACTCGAGCAACAGCTCCAACAAATTTACAGAAAACAGGAATGTTTATGTCCATTTTTAGATTTATTCAAATTAGAAACTAAACAGACTTTTTCTTGGTTTGCTCCTGTCCGGTTCCTACCTTTCTACAGGTGTCACTGTGGAAAAGGCGGAGCTACACCTGCACAAGTATATGACATTTTAAGCACCAACTTCAAATAGCAGCAGACAAGTCAACAGGAAAACACCTGGACTGATGTCAACCTGCAAACTAATGCCTGACAGGTTCTTCAAAGACTCAAAAGTTTTAGTCGACCAAAGAGTTTATCTGCGACACCATGAAACATCTAACATTTACAAAATATCAGGATGGTTTCCAACTTTACATAAAAACAAAATGAAAATATCTGTTGAGGTTAGAACCTTCTGCTCCAACATTAGACCCAAAACATTCAGGTTTCTTTAGTGTCGAGGTCCAATCAGCCTGGGATGAGGAAATCCTGCAAAAACATGAAAATATGGTCAATTCAAAACATCTAAGAGCTTCTTAAAAACAGATGCTTTAAAAATCTTTCATTTGTTTTTTAGAAAGTTCTGTTGACACCAGTTCTTGAAGTGGACCAGTACTGGATTCAGTCTTCAAGCTGAAACCACAGCAGGAAAACTGAGGTGCATCATTTAGTTAAAGCCAGGATCTGTCACCCTAACTGTCGACACAACCTCATTCTTTTATGTCTAAATTACTAATAAAGTTAGACATTTGAATGGTAAATAAATTACTAATAAAGTTAGACATTTGAATGGTA